GGCTGAAGTCGGACGCTTAACCGACTGCGCCACCCAGGCGCCCCTGTACATCCTTCCCAACATTTATTATTTCTTGTGTTTTTAATTAACACCATTTTCTGTCTTCCTTAACTCTAGACATTCTTGCTACAACATGATATATTCATTTCTGACAATGCCATGTACTGAAAATAATAGGCCTTAGAGAAAAGAGAAGGTAAAGGGCAATGATTCAAGATCTGTGCAACTCTGAAACTAGAACACCAACAGAAACAAGAACAATCCCAATAAAAAGTAACAGCAAAGTAAAATCTCTGTTGTCATTGACCCCCAATATCAAACCTTCAATCCTCCTCTCTCCTTTGAGCTTCCTTGAAAGCATTTGCTTCTAGTGGACACCAGCCTCATTTTGCACATGTGCAACAGGGAAGGAAGGGTAATTAATTGGGGCTGGTGGAGTGACTCCCTTCTGCCCTGCACTTCACCCTGGGATTTTGCCCTTCATTCCCACTTTGTTAATCTGTAACTTCAGTCTTTTTCTCTTTCTCCATTGTAAATGTTGCTTTATGCTTGGTTTTTATTTCCTTGCACTGCAAATAGGAACATGGTCTAAGGGGAAAAGCTTGGGGGAAAATGGGGTCACCTCTGTGCTTTCCTTCTCCCAAGGAGTGTAGCTTCTTGGCTTCTGTCCACATTGATTGGTACCCAGTGCCTTTAAACAGTTACATTATGTATTTTGTTCTGCTTTTATAGTTGTTTTCAGTGGAAGGATGAGTCCGTTTACATTTCTCTGTCACAGATCATGAAAATGCTGGATCAGTTTTATAGACTTTAATGGTTTGTTCATTTAAGATTCATTTTATATTTCTTTACATATTTATATTTAGCTATTTTATATTTCTCATCTAAAATTTGTTTTCTAATTCTTGTATCTGGGACCACCTGGGTGGCTCAGTCAGTTAAGCATCTGGCTTTGGCTGAGGTCATGATCTTGTGTTCATGAGTTTGAGCCCCGCATGGGGTGAGCACAAGCCCCGCGTCGGGTGAGCTCGAGCCCTGCTTCGGGTGAGCCCCGCTTCTCTCTCTCTCCCTCTCTCTGTCCCTCATGGGATTCTCTCTCTCTCTCTCTCTCTCTCTCCCTCTGTGTCCCTCGCTCACTTGTGCCCTCTCTTTCTCTCTCAAAAGTAAATAAATAAAAGTAAATAAATAAAATCTCTAAAAGTACTCTTGTATCTGTAGTTTATGGAGGGTTTGAATCTGTTGTTTCTGCTGTCTTTCATTTCATGGTGATCGTGCTTCCTTGTATGTTTGGTGGTTTGTTTTTTTTTTTTAGGTTTATTTATTTATTTTGAGAGAGAGTGAGAGAGCACAAGTGGGAGAAGAACAGAGACAGAGAGAGGGAGAGAGTGAGTGAGCATGAATGGGGGAGAGGCAGAAGGAGAGGGAGACAGTCCCAAACAGGCTCCACGCTGTCTGTCAACAAAGAGCCTGACAGGGGGCTTGAACTCACAAGCCGTGAGATCATAACCTGAGCTGAAATCAAGAGTTGGAAGCTTAACTAACTGAGCCATCCAGGCACCCCTCATTTGGTGGTATTTTTTATTTTGAGTTCATATGTGACTGACCTTCATCCACCATTTCTTGGCTGGGGTTTTGTGAGACAATGAAGCCCTCTAGAAAATGAATTGATTGACTACTTTTTCAGTTCTCCGAAGGGTGGTATGTAGCTGGTGCCATTCTGAATGTATAGGAGAGAAATTCTTTCCATAGCATGGGTGTCTGTAGGGTTTAAATTCTCTTCAAGTTGAGAAGGGTTGCCCAATCCACCGGGCCAGATGAGGGGTGCTTTTGTCATTACATTTGATTTCCCAGAAGCTCAGGGCACCACCAGTCTGGGCTCACTTTAGCCCTCTTCAAGGGGAGCGGTTCAGTATGAACCCTCATGTCCTTACCTTGTAGGGACCCAGGGCTCAGAGTTCTTACCCCAGCCTTGATAGGCCATGTCCCCATTAGGTAATGTCTCAGTTCATAATCTAGAAAATGGAGATGATAGGGGCGCCTGGATGGCTCAGTCAGTGAGGTGTGCAGCTCTTGGTTTTGGCTCAGGTCATGATCTCATTGTTGTGGGTTTGGGCCCTGCGTCGGGCTCTGTGCTGGCAGTGTGGAGTTTCCTTGGGATTTTCTTTCTCTTTCTGGCCCTCCCCTGCTCTCTCTCTCTCAAGGTAAAGAAATAAACATTAAAAAAAAAAAAAAAAAAAAAAAAAAGAAAGAAAATGGAGATGATGGTATATGCAGTGAGTGCGGTTAGGAGGCATAGAGCACTTGGACGATGTCCGGCACATGGTTGTTTTTCGCAGATTTCTCTCCCTTTCTTTATCCTTTGTGTCTGGCCATTTTGTTTGATGAAGTGTCCTGTTTCATGATTAAATTTTTGTTACTGTCAAGTTTGTTGTTGTTGTTGTTGTTGTTTTTCATAACCTGCTTCTAACAATGAATTTACTTAGTCTTCAGCAGTTTCGTTTTGATCCTCTCCTTTTTTTCCTGGTCTGCTTTGACTTAAGTGATGCCTTTTGTTGCTGTAAATCTGTTTCAGCAGGAATATTTCCATCCAGGGCCTGGCATCTTTGTTCTTCTTTTGAGCAGCAGAATTCTTCATTGAGTCCATATTGGTCCCGCCTTACTGTTAACCATGGAAGAGTCTGAAATGCTGTGGTTTTAAAATTGTATATGTTTTCTTGGGCGCCGATTTAGTTAAGTCGACTTCAACCCTTGAGTCGATCTCCAAATGATAGTGAGTTCGACTTAGCGTCGAGCTCTGGGCTGATAGCAGGAGCCTCAGAACTGTTTCGATTATGCTCCCCTCTCTCTCTGCCCCCCGTTCATGCTCTGTCTCTCTCTGTCCCAAAAATAAATAAACGTTGAAAAAAAATTGTATATGTTTTCTTAATTTAAAAGTAATCTATGCACATCATGGAAAAAATTTTTAATTGTTAAAAGTATAGTGAAGAGAATTAAAATTCCTATTACCATTCAGAGATCACCATTATTATTATTATTATTATTATTATTATTATTATTTTGGTGTTATTTCTCTTTCTATATATATGATTTTTTTGGAGTTGAGTACATCTGGGATATACAAATATGCAGCTTTTTTTAAAAATATGGAATTTTGGAAGCCTGGGTACGGCATGATGCGGATTCGTCATTTCAGCCAGTCCGCGATCTTCTACAGTCCGTGAGTTGAGGCATATGGGAGCTCTGGGCTGATAGCTCGAGCCTGGAGCCTGTTTCGATTCTGTGTCTCTCTCTCTGCCCTCCCGATTCATGCTCTGTCTCTCTGTCCCAAAAAATAATAAATAAGCAGTTGAAAAAAATTAAAAAAAATAAATAAATAACAGGAATTTGTGTCCAAATTGGTTTCATACAGCACCATCCCAGCTGATTGCCCTCACTCAATACTCCTCTTACCCTCCCTCCCACCCCCCATCAGCCACTCAGTTTGTTCTCTCAGTTTTTAAGAATCTCTTATGTTTTGGCTCTCTCCTTAACTTTTTTTTCTTTCTTTCCCCTCCCCCCATGGTCTTCTGTTAAGTTTCTCAGGATCCACATAGGAGTGAAAACATATGGTATCTGTCTTTCTCTGCCTGACTTACCTCACTTAGCATAACACTCTCCAGTTCCATCCATGTTGAGTAGTCTTTTTTTTTTTTTTTTTTAGCTTATGATATCCTAAGCTTCTTTTGTCATGGAAACTATTTGTAGACATTTTTAATATCTCTAGTGTAATGATTCAGATGCTTAGTCTTTCTCCTATGGCTGTACGTTTTATAATTTCTTTTGTTGTTGTAGAAGAACTTAACAACAGACACCTTTGTGAATACAGAACATGCTTGATTTCCTTGGAAGATAATGTCTTACAGATTAAATCAGTAAACAGAATTTGTTAGGACTGCATTGCCAAATTGCTTTCTGAGAAGATCGTATAATTATGCCGTCAGCAGGGAGTTTGGTGGATGGACCGCTGCTGCCTGGGCTCTTCCACATCTGGCCCAGCTGTCCTCTGCAGGACTAGTCAGGCTCTGGGGATAACCACCCTTATTTTTGCTACCCTTTAACAACCTCTGCTTTTATGTGTCTTGTAAGAGGTAAAATTGAGGTACGCCAGTAGGCACTGGCTCCAGGTCACTGCACTGCCCTCCCCCTGGGGTCTCAGGAACTCTGTTACCCACGAGAGCAGAAACATACTTCAGGATAGCTGAAAGTTACTGTGAGAAATGTCACTGTGAGAAAAACACTGTGCACAGACAACAAAATCAACTTAACGAGAACAAGGTCGTGGCCATTTTAACCCCGGGTAGTTTGATTAGTGGGGCTGAGAGACAGGGGTGTGAGAAGTGAGGAGCAGAGCCCATGCGAGATGTGGGCTGTGCTGAAGTCCTCCCTGGGTCACTGTCCTGGCTCTGTGGACATTTGCCGGGGTTCTGAAGGGGAGAATCCCTGGCAGGGTCTGGCTGGACCACCATGTTCAGGAGGGCATCCATGTCCAGGGCTCCTCCCTGTCCTGCTGGCCCAAGACCCCTGCAGAAGCAGTGGGGCATTCTCACCTTTCCTCAAGGAGGCACTGAGCTCAGAACCAGGGAGGGGAGCCTACTGGCCCTGGTCTCTGGGGCCGAGATGGACTTTGGTGTTCGTAGAACATCTAGACCAATGGCCCCCAGTGGAGGCAGAGGTGTCCACAGCCAAGGGCACAGTGCTTGGTGCTGCTCCCAGTACCCATACAACTCCCTGCTACAGCTGAGAAGTGAGGTCTCCAGTGCTGTCTCAGTCCTCAGTCGTGATCTGTGATTGGAGGGAGTCTCAGGTGAAGCTGTGTTCTTAGCCACATGCCCTTCCCTGGCTGGGTTCCTGAAGACCTGTATGGTTGGTGATGGGACAGCATCTGTTGCCTGGGTGAGACCTCTGTGATGTGGGCTTCACACGCACCACACGTCTAACTTGGTGGCTCTGTGTCCTTGTAGGTGGTAACGTGGACCTGGAAAGCCAAGCTGAAGGGAAGAAGGAGGTAGAAGCCGATGACGTGATGAGGAGTGGCCCCCGACCTATCGTCCCGTACAGCTCCATGTTCTGCTTAAGCCCCACCAACCTGTGAGTCTCCTTCACCTGCCCATGCTGTGTGCCTGTCCCATGCCTGTGGCCATGATCCAAGTGCACAGTAGCAGGGTGTGCTGACATGACCTGGCAGGCGCTGATTCTGTGCACTTTACATGTTCTAATGTTCTGAGCATCACGGCAATCCACAAGGACGTACTTCTGTTACCTCGCCCTACAGGGGAGAACAGGTAGCCACAGAAAAGGTCCATGGCTTGTCCACAGACACATGGCCAGTCAGCCCAAATGGTAGAGCTGGGGTTTGAACCCAGTCAGTCAGTCCCAGAGCCTTGCTGTTAAACCCCTGCTGCAGCGAGCGTTGGTTGCTGCGCACGTGCACCCAATTCATGTCCATCGTGTACGCGCGCTTCCATTTGTCCACCTTTCCATCACGCCCACCGTCCACACGTGCATGTGTGTGCACACCACATTCACTCACAGGTCTGCCCGTTTCTCGCCTCTCTGTTTATCACGAAGTCAGCAGCATTTCTCATCCACTCATCAGCCCAACTTGCTGCATTAGGTCAACCAGTACTTATGTACTAACAGCATTCTAGGTGCTGGGAATACATGGTAATGAGCAGAACAAACAAGGATCCCTGTCCTGAATAAGCTAAGTGAAGGTGGGAATGTCATGTTGGGTCTCGCTGGGAGGTGAGAATGGTGAGGAGGGAGACCATCCCTGGCAGAGGTGACAGACAGAGTGAAAGTGGAAGCACTTAAAGGCCAGTGTGTTGGAGCAGGGAGGCCAGAAGGCAGCCAGATCTGGTTGAATCGGGCTTTATCCTCTGTCCCCATCCCTCCAGCCTGCAGTCTCTCCATCCGGCCTCCATTGTCCATCCTTCCTTCCTCTCTCCATGCCTTCACTCAACACACATTTTCTGGGAGCTTCCTCTGCTCTGTTAGGGAGTGTGGACCTGCCTGTGAGCACTGCCGTGCGGTGCGGGAGGGAGCAGGCAACATCTGGGAGCAGCTGGGGAAGGTTGGGGAGCCTTCCTGGAGGAGGCAAGGGATCTCAGTTGAATCCTGAGGGTGGATGAGAGCTAAGGTGAAGAGAGATGAACAAACATTCCTTGTGGAGAGAAGAGAGATCACAGTGGTCCAGAAGTGAGGGTGTCAGGTGCAGAACAGCTAAAGACAGAACTGAGTGGAGCACAGAGACCAGAGTCCTATGGAGAGGCCGTGATCTGCACTCAGAGCACTAAGGAGCACGGAAAGGTTGTAGGCAGCTGGCAGTCAACAGCAACACAGGCTGCATGTCAGCAGAGTCCTTGGATGGCCCTTAGTAGGGTGGCCAGGGTTTTCAGGAAGAGACGGAGGAGATCTGATGTCATAAGGGGAGGTTTGGGAGTGAAATGCTTGGGGAGAGACTTTGGAGACAGAATCTATGGAACTTGATGATAAACTAGATGTGGAAAGGGAAGGAGATGGGAGGAGATGGGAGGGATGACACCCAGAGTTTCTGCCTCATGGCTGGGGTCCCACCAAGCTGGGCAGGCGAGTGCAGACCCTGCAGAGCCGGGGCGGCCGGCGGACGTCTCAGGGCCAGGTGGGCTCAGGAGCAGACGCTAGGGATGGAGGTCAAGGTGGATACTCAGTCCTGAGATGCAGAAGGAAAGAGGCAGAGACGGAGTATCCTGGAGCTGGGAGGACAGGCGTGTCCGTACAGAAGGAGGCATGGACATGGGTAGGGCGGCTCTGGTGGGTGTGGGTGTGGAGTGTGGCAGTCGTCGTGGTGAGGAGGAGAAGAGCATAGTAGGGCCCTTCAAGGCAGAGAGAAGTGGGTGGGTGTGGCTGGGAGGTGGGAGGTTCTCTCAGACCTCAGGCCCTGGGAATAGGGAAGTGGTGGCAGGAGGGAGGGGTAGGACCCAGAGGTGGGACACACGTCTGCCCTGTACAGTGGTTCTGTGGCTTCTCCTCCTTGTCACCTTCACTGCCCTCTTAGAGGTCTTCCCAGACCTCCCGGGTCACCATCTGCTGCTGTGTTCTAGCACCTGTCAGCATCTGAGAGTCTCCCTTTAGGTTATGTCTACACTGTTCTGTGGTGCCCTTGTTTACCACCGCACTCTGCTGTCTGTCATGCGCCTCCACACAGCAGAATAGTGGTCAGTGATGCTGACTAGTGCTGAAGGTGGACGGGGACTGAAGTACAGGTGTGCACACGCAGCTCTGGGGGCTCAGACAAGCACGGACCAATATGGACCTAGAGAAGCTTTCTGGGCTCTCCAGAGAGGCCTACTCTCCACAGGAGTGCTGGTCCTCAGCCACCTCTCTGAGCAGCCCCTCCACGCCAGGTACACTAGGGCTGTAAATCTGTACAGGGCACGGCTGTCCACACATAGAGGTAAACGCGTAGGCGTGGCTGTGCTCTCATAGAACTTTATGGACACAAACGGGGCTTGTGAGCTGTAGTTGGCTGGCCCCTGCCTTCCTACTGCTCTTCCTGGGACACCCTCTCAAGAGTCTGAGTCACCATCAGTCACCTGGCTGCTGTCTCCCAACACAGAGATACTTAGTAGAGCTCGGTTCTGGTGTAACACCTTCTTTCAGGGAGAGACCAAGCACGTGCTCTGGTGCGGGGGGCAGGGGGGGGGGGTGGCCAGCCGGGCCCGTCTGTGGGCCTCTGGCGACTTGTGCTTTGCCCCACAGGCTCCGCCGCTTCTGCCATTACATCGTGACCATGCGGTACTTTGAGATGGTCATTCTTGTGGTCATCGCCCTGAGCAGCATTGCCCTGGCAGCCGAGGATCCTGTGCGGACAGACTCGCCCAGGAACAACGTGAGCACCTCATTCAGGCTGTGGAGGGGCTGGGAGGTGTCAGGGTCCTGTCTGCTCCCTCCAGGGGTGTGGGGTGAGGGTCTGGGGGCACCTCCTGGCCCAGCCCCAAGTTATAGACAAGAATAGTGAGGATATGCCCAGGGCCAGTGCCGTTGCCAAAGGGGGCTCCACCCACGACAGTGGCCCGCAGGACCCCTGGCCAAGGAGTTGTCTGCTCAGAGGCCTGGAGGGAAAACGTGTTCCCACTGAAATAGTCTTGGCTCAAGCTTTCAGCCTAGCCTCTGACAATAACCTTCCTGTTGGTTCCAGGCTCTGAAATACATGGACTACATTTTCACAGGCGTCTTTACCTTTGAGATGGTGATAAAGGTGAGATATGTAGTTGCCCTGGTGGCCCCAGGGCTTTGCTCATCCTCCCTCATGACTGAGATGCCACAGGGCCCCTGTAGCTGCTGTTGAGGGCTTGTGGTGGGTGTGCCCTGGGTGCGTGCTCAGTGAGAGAGTGCACGCACAGGTGTGTGGTGATGGGTGTTGTGGAGGCAGAGGCCAGTTCGTGAAAGATTCACCACAGCATTATCCCAGTTTGGGGAGAGCTCACCAGCATCATTCCTGTGTCTACCTCACTGCTAAGCAAGGGCTACAGGCTTCCGTGAATGTGCAGGTATGGGCTTAGCCCCACCCTCGGGGTTGTCTCATGATAGAGGAGGAGGGCCCATGACATCAGCCTGGGAAGAAGGGGAGCTTGGGGAGAGGGTGGAGGCCTCAACACCCAAACATCATGGTGAGTGGGTGCTGAAGACTTGTGTAAAAGAATTCCAGGGGCGTCTGGGTGGCTCAGTCCGTTAAGCGTCCGACACACGATTCAGTTCAGGTCATGATCTCATGGTCATGAGATGGAGCCCCACGTCTCCATCCGTAAGATTCTCTCTCCCTCTTCCTGTGCTCCTGCCCTGCTTGCCTGAGCATGCGCATGTTGTCTCTCAAAAAATAAACAAATGAATGAATGAAATAAAAGAGCTCAAGTGTTTGATGTTCGGTTAAGGACTGACCATTTCATTGTGATTGCTTCTGTCTCTCAGTATTGGCAGGCACTGCTCCCTTTTCGGTGTCTGACAGGTGGTGGTGCATGTGTTTGCACACACTGTGTTCAGCTGTGTTGCACGCACACACACACGCATGCAGTCTTTGACTACAGTGCAGCTTCGGGTGTGCCTGTGACTTGGGTACTTCGTGTGTGTGCATCTGCATATCATGCCTGCTTCTTCATTTCCTCTTATAAACTCCTGGTGGGGGGGGGAAGCATTTTTTTTTGTCATCCCATTTTACAGACACGGAAGCTGAGGTTTAGAGATATTAAGGTGCTTGCTGGAAATCACAGCTTTAGGAGTGGCAGCACCAGGTCCATGTGAACCCCCGAAGCCCTTTCTCCTGCTGCAGAGAGCTGACCCTCTGAGGGTCTGGGTTGGGGCATGAGCTCCCTGGGGCTGTGCATTCCTGCAGCCCAGTGATGGGGGAAGGCGTCTCATTTTTAGGCTCCAAGGGGATTGGGGGCCCAGGCAAGATCTCAGCCAGTCATTACCAATGAGGGATATTTGGGTCAATGGCACTGAGGTTGAAAGGCCCCCTGAGGGCCTCAGAGGGTGTGACCTGAGTAGCATCTTTTCCCCAAATCCCTGACTCTGCGGCCTGGCCCTGGTTTTCTTTCTGAAAGATTGTACACCTAATACGTGTTTCTTCTCTGAAGATGATTGATTTGGGACTGCTGCTGCACCCTGGGGCCTACTTCCGGGACCTGTGGAATATTCTGGACTTCATCGTGGTCAGTGGGGCCTTGGTGGCATTTGCCTTCTCGTAAGTACTGTGTCTCCTCTGGGTCTGGCTGGGCTGCAGTCCCCAGAGCTGTAATGAGTATGGGAATAAGGGAAGGAAGGGCCCCATTGGCCTGCGCGGGCTGTCTGTAGCTCCTGTCTACTTGGGGCTGGGCTTGTGTGGGGTTAAGAAGCTCTCAAGGCCCACTTGGACCTACCACAGCTTGTGGTTCTGAGATTGTGTAGGCAGTCCTCTGGGTTATTCGGTGCCTGCCTGTCGGGTCCTTCAGAGCAACTACCTGCCCTGACCTTAGCTGCACCACCTGTTCAGCCAGAGCTGGGCGGTGGTGCTGGTGGGTGTCTTCCCCCGTTGGAGCGTTAGACCATTTTCTCTGACTCCATAGCGGGCAACACTCAGCCCTATTGTGGCTGGGCCTGGATTGGCTCAGATCCTGCATGGTGATGGGCATGGGATAGATATGGGGGGGCTTGGGTGGAGCTGTGGAGGAGATCCAGAGATTAGGAAGACCCCCAGTGATGCAGACACCGAGGGATGGTGTCTTCATCTTCTCTGAGCCCTTGGGGAGGGCGAGGCCTCCTCACTGACTCTCTTCTCTTTGTCTCTTCTTGCTGGACTCTCGGTAGGAGCTTCATGGGGTAATGCCTTCCCTCTGCCCCGTACTGCCCCACATCATAGCACAGCATGGCCCCTTGTGGGCCGGTTCACCACCATGCCTCACCTCTGCTCATCCTCCTCCACCGTCCAGGATGCATGCTGCCAGGAGCCATGTCCCCATGCCACATGTTCCTGCCTCACCTCCAGGGGCTGGGCTGGAAGCTGGGGCTGGGGCTGGGACTGGGGCTTGGCATGGCCAGTCCTTGGTGGGGAGGTGCCCCAAGTGAGTGCTGGAGGGCTGGGGACCTGGGCCCTGAGGGCAGTGAGGGCTCAGGGGGGAGCCGCTGCAAACATGGCTGCCAGGATGTTGGGCATCCTGAAATCCCTTCCCACGTCTCTTCTCCAGAAACGGGGCTTTCTTTCCTCTCTGTTCTCCACAACTGCCTCTGTGGGGGGTCTTAACCGACTTTCTTTGTATATAAAGTGTCAGTGAGGGGCTTGGGAGTGACACAGGGGAAGGGCTACAATCCAGCTTGGTGGCCTCAGCAAGACAAAGGCTCTGAGCGGGCAGGAGAGAAACAGAACACAGAACACCCGAGGGCCGCCCCTGCAGAGAGCCCTCCCCCCAGAAAACCAAAGCAGGTGTCCCTCCCTTCTGCCTCCCTCAGGTGTCCACCCACCCACCCTGCCTCTTGTTCTCTCTGTGCTGGTCTTAGCAGGGCTGCTGGAGGAACCTCGTTTGGGATTGGGTGTCAGGAATGCTGGGGTATAGAAACACCCGACGTGGTGGTCTGGAGGCTGGGTTTTTCCCATCTGGAAGCTTGGTGTTTCAGAGAGAGTTTGATCTGGTTCTGGACTGTAGGCTCTAGCTGGGTCTCGAGAGGTATAGGGGGCTGGGGCTCTCCAGCTCTCCTCAACCCACAGATCCTGCCTGGACCTCATAGCTCACTTTCCCTAGAGCTTGGCTGGAGTCCAGAGAAGACCACTGGTGGCCCTGCCCCCTCTCTTCATGTGCAGGCTCCTTGGGAGCTTGGAGAGAAGTGGCCTCTGAACAGGATGGAATAGGGCCCCCAGCCCTGAGTCCTCAACCACTGCCGAGCATGGAGTGTGGCCTTGCTTCTAAGAATTGCTTCCTTAGGAAGTCTGTGAAGGCCACTTGGGACGCTCCCCCCACCCTGCCCACCAGCCCTGGCTTTTGATTGGTAGGAGGGCCAGCCCCCAGAGTCTGACATTTCCTGGGGCCCTGGCAGCCTGAGAGAGCCACCTGGGTCTGCTCTGGCTTCCTGTGAGGGCTGCCTGATCAGGACTCACAGGTCCTGGATTTCCAAGCTTGCATCTGGTGCCTGGAATTTTTTCCTGACTTCCTGTCTTACCCCCCCCCCCCGCACTGCCCCACTCCCTCAATCTTGGTTTTCTGGTCTGCTGCTCTCTTTGTCTCTGTGGCTTTTTCTCCCTCCCTCCCTCTCTGTTTCTTTCTCTTCCCTTTAGTATTTCTTTCTTTCTTTGTCCACCCCTTGCATTGCATTGTCCCTTGCATCACCTTTGTATTCATCTAACGTTTTCTTTTTCTTACTTTGCTCCCCTCCTCCCCTCCCAGCACGCCTGTCCTCCCTCTCCTCTCCCCTTTCTGTCAGTTTTACCTCATCCGGAGGAGTGTGGGGGCAGCTGAGCGAGTACAGTCAGGGAGATCCAGACATGTTCCTCCCTACCTCCCTATACCAGGGCTGGAGAGCAAGAGAAACCAGCCCTTCCAGAAGGCTCTCGCACTAATGGCTTGTAGGTTTCCATGGGCTGGCCCAGGCTAGGTCTGCAGTCCTGGGGCCAGCCCCGTTCTGTCCTCTTTATTTCCATTGCCGGTCTTAGCATGGTGGCCAGAGGAAGCTGGTTTAGGGGAGTGCTGGGGTAGAAGTGGCCGACGTGGTGTGGGAGAATGGCTTCTTTCCTGCTGGAAACCCAGCATTCCCTTACACCAGTTACTGCTGACCCAGCCCTGGCCCTCATCTGCTCAGATGAGGGCTTTGCCATGCAACCTGTAGGAGGAGATGCAGAGGCCTCGCTGTTCCTGAGTGTTTGCCCTGGGGCCTAAGGCAAAATGCTCAGGAGAGCCTAACCCAGACCCCAGTAGGCTTTGTGGAATCTGAGCATGAGTGTGCATCCTGCCTGTCTGCATGTGTGGCTTCTCCCTTCTAGAGGATCCAAAGGGAAAGACATCAACACCATCAAGTCCCTGAGAGTCCTGCGCGTCCTGCGGCCCCTCAAGACCATAAAACGGCTGCCGAAGCTTAAGGTGAGAGTGTGGATTTGGGGCTTGAGGAGTGTGCAGGGCTGTGTATACACGTGTGTGTGGATGTGCACGTACATGTGAGCGTAGGTCTAGACGTACGTGTATGGGTACTGTGCACATAGGTACATGTAGTTATGCTTGTGAGTGTGTGCACGTGGGTGCATAGATGTGAGTGCATGTGTGTGTTGTGTGTACCAGGTTGCACTGCATGCAGGTATGCACACGCATGTGTGTGGTATGCACATGAATGTGTGAGTGCACGTGTGCACGTAGAAGTAACCCTGTCTGGCTGCAGCTTCCACGTGGGGTGGGATGAGAGCGCTGAGGGAGGGCCCCTACTTGTGTTCTCAGATGGTGCGTTGTGTGAGCCGGTCAGGCTCTCTCAGTTCCGCGACTGCCCCGCAAGGAACGCTTAGTGTCAGTAGTGTTCTGTAAGGCTCTTCTTCCTCAAGCCGGCAGCAGACACGGTACAGGGAAGAAGGGGCTGCCGAGAGAAGCGGAGGGTCCCGGGGGACATGCAGGGAGGTAGGGGCTCTTGAGAAATGGTTACTGGGCTTGGCCCTGAGGATGGGTGTGGCTGAGGTTCCGGATAAAGGAAAGAGTATGGACCCGAACACCTGGGGAGTTGTGTTAAAGTATGATAGTCGCTGAGCTTCTTCCTCACTGTGAAGAATGCTTTGGATGCTTAAACTCATTTAATCCCACAAAACTGTGTAGTACAGTGTTGTGAGCAGCGTGCGGATGTAACCCTTGCAGGCCTGAAGCAGTGTGGGGGTTGCAGAAGGCAGTTTGCTTGTGAAGGGGTGGACTGGGGCGGGGGGTGGCTTGAAGGCGGCCAAAGGCCCTCTGTGTCAAGCAGGGACCTGGACCCGGCCTGGGGGGTCAGGGGTGTCATGGACACCATGGAAGTGGGCAGTGGCTGCATTTGCTGAGGCAGCTGCTGGTGTCTGGACTGTGCCAGGCAGTGTCTTGAGGGATGGTTGTGGGTCTGCCTTTTTGCACAGCTGGAGCAGGATGGGGGGAGTCTCCTCAGCTCTGAGAAATAGGGAGCAGGGCCAGGGTCAGCAGAACTGGGCATTCAGGGAAAGCCGAGCTTCTGGGTGGGGAAGAATCTGAGAAAAAGCTCTGGCGGTGGCAGTAACAGATGACGGAGTCACCTCTGGGCCATACCAAAACACACCAGAGGTCTCTGTCTTGGAGCTGGCCACAGCGTTGTTGCCTCTCTGCCCCATTTTGGCTCCCACCCGTGGGCAAAGTATGACCCACTGGCAGGCCGGGGTGCAGGAGCAGGGTCTGGCCATATCCCCGTCCACACTCCTTTCCCTCCCTGTCAGCCACCCCTGGCACACGCTGGCCTGGGCTCCAGGTTGTCCTCATTTATGTAGCCTGACCCAGGCTTCCACCACCAGCTTCCCGTCAGGGTCCAGCCCGTCTGCCCAGGCCACCTCCTCTAGCACCTCCTGCCCGCTCATCCCGTCCTGGGAGAGGCGGTGGCAGGCAGCTTCCTGTGTTAAGTCAGTGGGCAGCAGTTCCCTCCATGATTATGGCCTCGACGGTCCTCGGATACGGGGAGGCCCGGAGGTTCTGAGTTGAGCTCTCTTCCCCTCCAGGCCGTGTTTGACTGTGTGGTGAACTCCCTGAAGAACGTCCTTAACATCCTGGTTGTCTATATGCTCTTCATGTTTATATTTGCTGTCATTGCGGTGCAGCTCTTCAAAGGGAAGTTTTTCTACTGCACGGATGAGTCCAAGGGGCTGGAGAGGGACTGCCGGTAAGTCAGGCAGGGCTGGGAGTGGGGAGCCCAGTGAGGGCTCTGGGAGGAGCCTGCTTGGGGTCCACCAGAGAGCTGGGGGTGTGCCTCTGTCCCCAGGGTCACACTGGGACTTCTGGCTCATTTTCCTCAGCAGAGCTGGGGACCAGGCACTTCTGAGGGACATGCTCTTCCTGCCCATAGACATCAGGGAGCACATGGTGGGGGGGTGGTCACTGGGGTGTTGCTTGAGGGCTCTGCAAATCTTGGAGCTCTAGGCTAGACTCTAGGATCAGAGGGGCTGCCCTATGCCTGGAGCTGCTTTCACCATCACTGCGAGGCCTCAGGCCTCTCTGGACCCGGCCCCACTCCAGAGCAAACAGGAGAGATGCCCTCAGGGAGGAACTAGGGGAAATGGAGGCGGGTGCTGAGCAAGGTGGTGTGGGCGGCTGCTTCTCCAGCCACAGGCAATGGCCCCAGCTGCCTCTGTTCATGTAATATTCTCTCGTGTAAATACACCACCACGAATTTACCCACTCTGTGACTGATGGGCATGGGGGGTATTTCCATTCTGAGGCTCTTGTGAGCAGTGCTGTTGTGATTGTCCCAGTATGTGTCTGCTGGGAAGCACACACATGCAGTTCTAGGAGGTGTGCACACCTGGGAGTGAGACTGCAGGGTCGTGCACTGTGCTTGTGTTCAGCTTCTGCCGGTGCTGCCAGATAGGTGTGTAAAATCGCACTCCTGCCACGTGGCTAAGAACTCCAGTACTGTGCACCAGGGGGTTCTTGGTGTGTTGCATCTTTGGATCTGTAGCCTTTCTCATGTTGGGCTGGTGGCATTTCTCTGTGGTTTAATTTGGGCTGGGTGCCTCACCAGGTGATTGACCACTCCAGTATCCCTGGAAAGGGTCTATGCAAGCCCTTGCCTGTTTTCCCGTATGGATGTCTTTCACTTTCTGATTGATTTGTAGGAATTCTGTGAAGTCCTGGATAGGCATCCATTGCCAGATCTATGGATTATGTCTTCAAGGTCTTAGGGACGCCTGGGTGGCTCAGTTAGTTAAGTGTCCGATTTGATTTCGGCTCAGGTCATGATCTCACGGTTCGTGGGGTCGCGCCCTGCTGTATGCTGTACAGCCCTCAGGCTGTATGCTGACAGTGCAGAGCCTGCCTGGGATTCTCTCTCCCTCTCTCTTTGCCCCTGCCCCACTCACACATGTGTGTGCATGCACGCGTGCTCTCTCTCTCAAAAGAAATAAACATTTGAAAATTAAAAAGTAAAATAAAAATAAAAAAGTAAAATAAAAATCTTGATTGTAATATAGTCCAATTTATCTCTCTTATGTTTAGTACTCTTTGTATCCTTTTCAGAAAATCTATACAAAGGTCAGGGAAATGCCCTGTTATGTTTTCCTCTAAAAGTTTTAGTTACGCGTTTGACATTGAGATCTGTGATCTATCTGGAGTTGACTTTGTGTGTTAGCTGAGGTATGGATAAAAATAAATTTTTCTGTAGATGGATATCCAGTTGACCCAGCACCATTTACCTGAAAAGACCATCCTTTCCCCATTCAGTGATATCCTTTGTTTTTACTGAGATAACAATTCTTACGAAGCATCCATTGAAAGTGAACAACTCAGTGACTTTTAGTATATTCACAGATGTTTGCAACCACCACCATAGTCAATTTTAGAACACTTTCGTAAGTTAAAAAAAAAAAAACACAAAAAACCCCGTACCCTTTACTACCCACTAGCTCCCCATCTCCAACCCTAAGCAACCATGGATCTATTTTTTTCCTCTTTAGTTTTCCGTGTTCTGGATGTTTCATGTAAATGGAATCATAAATATGTGGTCTTTGGTGTCTCATCTCTTCCCTTTACCATCATGTTTTTGAGGTCACCCGTGCTGTAATGTGTGTCAGAACTTCACTCCCTCTTGTGGTTGGATCTGATTCCGCTCTGCAGATAGATATGCCGCATTTTATTTATTCATTCATCTGTTGATGGACATTTGGGTGTTTCCATCTTTTGGCTATTGTCATTAATGCTTCTGTGAACATGTGTACAAAGTTTTTGTGTGGACAGATGTTTTATTTATTTATCTTTTAACGTTTATTTATTTTTGAGAGAGAGACACACACAGTGTGAGCAGGGGAGGAGCAGAGAGAGAGGGAGACACAGAATCCAAAGCAGGCTCCAGGCTCTGAGCTGTCAGCATAGAGCCCGATGCGGGGCTCAAACCCACAAACCATGAGATCATGACCTGAGACGACGTCTGCCACTCAACTGACTGAGCCACCCAGGCGCCTCTCATTTCTTTTGAGTGTATACTTAGCAGTGGAATTGATAGGTCATGTGGTAAATCTGTTTACCAGTTTCAGGGACTGACAGACTTCCAGTATGACTGACCCATTTTATATTCCTACCAGCAGTGTGGGAGAGTTCTGATTTCTCCATATCCTTGCCAACACTTGTTATTTTCCTTTTAAAAAATTTAATTATAGCCATCCAGTGGGTATAAAGTGATATCTCAATTCAGTTTTCATTTGCATTTCCCTGATGACTCATCATGTTGAACATCTTTTCATGTGCTTATTGGCCATTTGTATATCTCCTTCGGAGAAATGTCTATTCAGATCTTTATCCATTTTTTAATTGGGTTATTTGTCTTTTTTGTAACTGATTATAATAGTTCTTTATATATTCTAGATTCAGGTCCTGTCAGAGAGAGGATGTTCAAATATTTGGTCCCATTCTGTGTGTTGATGATGTCTTTCAAGCACAAAAGCTTTACATTTTGATGAGGTCCAATTTATCTACTTTTTTCTTTTATTGCTCCTGATTTTGGTATCATATCTAGCAATCCCTTCCCAAATCTTACGCCCCCTTGTGTTTTCTTCTAACAGTTTTCTAGCGTTAGCTCTTACCTTTAGGTCTTTGATCCTTTTTGAGTTGGATTTTGGACATGGAGTGAGGTAGGGGTCCAACTTCCTTCTTTTGCAAGTGGATACCCAGTTGTCCCAGCACCATCTGTTGATGGTGTTTCCCTCCATTGGGTGGGCAGCCCTTTCAAAAATCAGTTGGCCATAGACAAATGGGTTTATTTGGATCCTTGGTCTTTATCCTCTAACCTCCTCTACATTCTCATCTCCAGGGGTCAGTATTTGGATTATGAGAAGGAGGAAGTGGAAGCTCAACCACGGCAGTGGAAGAAATACGATTTTCACTATGACAATGTGCTCTGGGCTCTGCTGACACTGTTCACAGTGTCCACGGGAGAAGGGTGGCCCATGTGAGTGTTCATATGGTTCATTGTGTTTGATCAGGCTAGAGAAGAGGGGCAACTCGGACAGGGAGTCCCATACTCTGCATCTGTTTGTGTTTTAGTCACTCAGCAAATACCCCATAGGCTCTTGTATCTACCAGGTAAGACATAGCTCTGCCTTCCAGGAGTGGGGTGGCCTGGGAAGAGGAGGAGATTACACCAAAGCACACAGCATAGTGATTTCCTGAAAGTCCTTTTTGAGTAGCTGAAGGTCAGAAGTGAATGGGGCTATTCAGCATCTCCCTGTGCTACTCCTCTGGCCTCAGTTAAGGGTAGACAGAAGGATGTATGTGTTCAGTTGCCACACTGGATAACAGGGAGGACCACCACTCAGAAGGTGGGATCAATTCTCTGACAGGTGGCCCAGGGCTTTCCAAAGGCAGGTGAGGCTGGGTATGAGCTGGTGAGCTGGGCATGAGCAGGCGTGAGCCGGGAGTGAGCAGGGCAGGGCACAACTCCTGGGCCTCCACCTCTCCTGGTGTTAGGACATTAGGCACTGGAGACCTCCCCTTGGTGGCTCTCCAACAGTCCTGAGTACAAACCCCATCAGTAAGGTAGCCCACCTCCAGGAGGTTGCAGTCCTGGGGGGTGGGGTGGGACAGGCTTTGGCCTGCCATGTTGAGCCTCCTTTTCTCTTGCCATCTCTGGGCTCAGGTATGGAAGCCTCACCTGTGATACAGGTCTTGACTTCCCCATGGGTCTGTACTCAGGGGTCCCCCTGACTCTTGGTGTTTGCTCTTGACACAGGGTCCTGAAACACTCTGTGGATGCCACCTATGAGGAGCAGGGCCCAAGCCCCGGGTACCGCATGGAGCTATCCATCTTCTATGTGGTCTACTTTGTGGTCTTCCCCTTCTTCTTCGTCAATATCTTTGTGGCCTTGATTATCATCACCTTCCAGGAGCAGGGGGACAAGGTGATGTCTGAGTGCAGCCTGGAGAAGAACGAGGTGGGTGGCTCCCTCTTCTGTCCCCTGTGCATATGTACAGTGGACACTCTGCTGGGCTCGCTTGATGGGCAGCATGGGCAGGACCATTGGAAGCCAGTACAGCACAGAGAGAGACTGAGTGTGGGTGGTCAGGGCTGCCTGCGAGGATGAAGGAGACAGGCGTGGGTGCAGTGGGTGCTACAGTGTGGGGTTCTCCCCAGACAAGTTCTCCGTGCTCCTTTCTTTCCACACAGAGGGCTTGCATTGACTTTGCCATCAGCGCCAAGCCCCTGACACGGTACATGCCCCAGGACAAGCAGTCATTCCAGTACAAGACGTGGACGTTTGTCGTGTCTCCACCCTTTGAGTACTTCATCATGGCCATGATTGCCCTCAACACAGTGGTGCTGATGATGAAGGTGTGTGGGCCCAGTACGGGGGCAGTGGGTGGCAGCTGGGTGTGAGAGAACTGTAGTTACATTTGACCATGTCCTGGTCAGCACGGGATGCCTATGGAAGCCAGCGCCATAGGTTGCGCATGGGCTGAGTTGGTGAGAATGTCCTAGGAGGAGACGGGGAGAACAGGATGGGGTATCCGTGTGCTGGGCAGGCATGCAGTTCTCTCTGCATGCAGTGCTCTGGCAGAAGGTCAGGGTGATCCCTGGTGGGGTGTCTTGGGGCAGTTGAACCTATGGCCAATGGCACTCATTCCCCGTGCAGTTCTACAATGCACCCTATGAATACGAGCTGATGTTGAAATGCCTGAACATTGTGTTCACATCCATGTTCTCCATGGAATGCGTGCTGAAGATCATCGCCTTTGGGGTGCTGGTAGGTGCCTTGACTCCCTCTTGGCCTCTTGGTGGTCTGCATTGTGGCTCCCCATCTGTAGGGAGACCTGCAGAGACTTACAGCATGGAGCTGGGAATCCCCCAAGCCCCCAGAGGAAATGTGACCTTGTAGGGGCGCTGAGGAAGGGGCTGCTCTAATGCTCTCAGCTGCCTGAGCTCTGCCCCCAGCTCAGTTCCTGGAGACAGATGGAGCCAGATTCCTCCTCTCTGGACTCACAGCTCTCAGTCTGCACCTGCCCAGGCCCATAGGTGTTTACTTACCCAGCTGTGGTGTCCCACCTGGGGTGGCCCATCTGTCCCTTTGCCCCTTTCTTGATTAGGAGCCACGTCTTGCAACTCTTTGCCTGGCAGAAACCCTCACCAGCCACTAGCAGTAACTGCTCTTTTTTCTCTCTAGAACTATTTCAGAGATGCCTGGAATGTCTTTGACTTTGTCACTGTGTTGGGAAGTATTACTGATATTTTAGTAACAGAGATTGCGGTAAGTAGCATTTCCTGTCCCTCCTCGAGGGCCCCAGCGTGATTTCCTTCTAGGTGGTGCTCCCTCAGTGTGCCTCCAGGTCCTAAGTGTTAGCTCCTCTTCTCTTGCTAGAGTTCCCCAGGAGCCCCTGGAAAGAAGGAGTCTCCTCTCCAGAGGTGGAGTTGGGGACTGAGGACTGATTGAAAAAAATGCTTTTTCTTGGATAAGAAAGTGGTTCCCAAAAGGTCTTCCAGTTTGGTGGCCTGAGAGCCACCTGGGAGCTCCATGGTAACAACTGACCAGGAAGACAAGAGTCTTTTAAATCTGTGTGTGTCTAACAAATCTAACAATTTGGCACCAAAATTACATAAACTAAAATCGACAAGAATATAGGATATTTTAAAATACCAGGTTTGTTTTACATGTTTGTACGTGTGTGTATAAATAAAACTAGACAATCTCATTCATGTTAAACATGCATGGATTATATGTAAAAACTGACCAAGTGCAAGTGCAAGTGTTGACCAAGTCTCAACAGATTTCAAAGAATCTGAATCATAAAGCAATATTCTTTGAGTACAGTGCTTTCTCTTAGAATTAAATGGCAAAAAATCTCATCTCTGTCTTCTGTTGAATTCTCTAGGAGCATCACCTGAGATGGGGTGCTTGTACAAATCATTTCTTAGGAAGTAGTCCCAGGCAAAACCATTAGAGAGTGGATTGGGGAGCTGATGGGTAAGAGAAGGAGGACCAGAAATGTATCTGGAGCCAAGTTGAGGGTGAATTTGGCTCATCCCTCACTGGGGGTGGTCGCACTTCAGAGCTGCAAACCTCTTCCTCTGTACCTGTTAGTGCTCAGCTAAGGGCTACAGCTGGAGGTGTTAATGGTCAGACACCTCTGGCTCTTCTGAGTATACCCCGTGTGCAGGCAAAGCAGGCTCTGGCACCTGCTGGGGGTGCAGGAATGTCAGATTCCATGGTAACAGGGCCACATGGTGCCCGTTCAGTGGTAACAAGTGTCTGCTGTGCCACCCTGGCTCTGCTCAACTCTTGTACACACCTCACACTGGGTTTACTTCACTCATTCTTCAGGATGGTGCTGGTCACCATCTCTGGAAGAAGAGGGTTGGTAACCAGCTGGAGTTGATCTGAGTTAAGTTGATGTTCATTAACTCATTCTTCCTCTGACCCTTTTGAGGTCCCCTGAATGGTGGCCATCTGCTGCTCTGGTTGCTGGCCTGGTAGGTGGCCCACACTGTCATCCACTGTAACCTAAGTCCCTGCTTGCCATTCTTGTGCTCCAGCTGCCGTGGTAGTCCAGTCATAGTTAAGACTGGTCATAGAAACACCTAGAAAGGCCCCAGTGAACCTCCTGATGTCCAGATAGACTTCTTCCTGCCCCTATGTACTGGTAGCTCTGCCCTTCTCAATAACTTTCTCAATAACCAGCATATGGGGCACCTGGGCAGCTCAGTCAGGTAAGTGTCTAACTCTTGATTTCTGCTCAGGTGATGATCTCACAGTTGTGAGATCAGTCCCTGAGTTGGGCTCAGTGCGGTGTGTGGAGCCTGCTTGGGATTCTCTCTCTCTCTCTCTCTCTCTCTCTCTCTCTCTCTCTCTCTTTCTCTCCCTGCCCCTTCCCTGTTCTCTCTGTCTCAAAAAGTAAACAAACAAACAAGCAAACATAAAACAAAGAATAACCAGCATCAAATACCCTGGCCAGTATGGAAAGTATGCTCTGCCTGTTGTTCTTAAGGCATGTTCCACAGTGGAAGCTTTCCCTACTCCTTGAGCCAGGACCTCTAGATTTGCCATACCTAAACTTGGGGAGAGGGAGCACAAAGTCTGCCCTCAGTAGCTGGAGTGATACTGAGAGGGGCTACCCCGACTTCTACCCCTTGCTTCCTGGGTCTGGGCGTTTTACCAGTTGGGCACCCAGTACCACCTCTTGGCCATCAGTTCATCTTAAAGGACAACATCCCAACCCCATGAGGTATATAGCACCAAGCCAGCATTTAATCTGTGCCTTTAAGAGTCTGTTTCAACATTTTATCAGGTTGGCATCTCCTGAATGATGTTGAATATGATATGGATCCTGAGTCATGTGTCCTTTGTAGCTCCTGTGCTTATGCTGAGCTGATGTTATGTGGAATCCCATGTTGATGAATCTCTGATACTAGTGTAGGCCAAGGTATTCCATCAGCAAAGACGAACCCACACCCAGGATATGAGTGATCCCACTTGAGATAAATCACTGCCGTTTCCAGGTGAAAGGATTCCCATGTAAGCAACTTAGTACCAAGGGGCTGATTGACAGCCTGAAGTGTGGTACACTGTAAAGGCCTAGCTGACTTCTGCTCATAGCAGGCTGGATGTTCAGCAGCGGCCATGGCTGGATCAGCTTTGTTGAGAGGGAGCCCAGCTGGGTGGCTCAGGCACAGCCTTCATCTCAGCCACCACAGTCACTTCATTCATGGATCTACTGTATAAACACTGGGGCTGGTGAGGATGGAGGCTGGCTGTTACCTGTTGGGCAAACAATCTCAGGAGCTGGTTCTTAGTGCCCCTACAGCCGTGGATGCTCTAGTGGACCTGGTTGTGTATTACAAGGACCTGCACGTCATGTACATTCCCCAGGCCCATCCAGCCTTTCCCCAAACTTTGTTCTTTCTGGAGTCCTGACAAGGCTTTAGCTCTTGCCAGAGGTCCTGTAGTCCATACCACAGGCAACTTCTTTCTCCATAGACACCATGGCTGATGAGGTACCCAGAGCACCACCCAGAGCTCTGCTTCACCACTGCCTTTAAGGTTGTCTCTGTGTGGGACTCTACTGAGGCTGCACCAATTTATTGAGCCAACTGCTCCATAAATCAGGTTGGCTATAGTGATCATCCCATGATTCACTGGGGTCAGGGTGAGCTCAGGAAGACAGAGTTGCAGCAAAGGTGAGACGTCTGAGGCACTGGGCCACCTGTCATATGACTGTGCCTTCTAGACATGCTTGGGTTCGGCCCTGGATGCAGCACTTCTGTCATATGCAGGATTGATGGCGGGCCTGCTACATATACTCATAAGGAGAAGCTTTGGTACCATAGGCACTGTTGTTTCATGGTCAGATGCAGTCTCCACCCAGGGCCCAGTATCCAGGAGTAGCCCTCTCATTGGTGATGTCTGTAGCAGATGACATGGCCTTGTTCCAGAATCCTAGGTCTTTGCATTGGCTTTTCTATGTAGGCTTTCCAGCGACTCCACACAGTGTCTTTATCTACCACAGATACCCCAGCACTGTGGAATCTGTTGCATTTTATGGCCCAAGGTATAGTGCTCCTGGTACTGCAGCATGGATCTGCTAGAGACCCCTCTCTTGCTCTGAAATCTCTCAAAGCCGGCAGCTTTGTGTCACCTGATAAATAGGTCACAGCAGTATTTCCTTTGTGGTAAATGCCATCTCTGAAACCCAAGGAAGCCTATGAGAAGTAGGAAGTGTGAGGTGTGATAACTGATTTGTCTTTTACCTTGAGATCCATGTCCTGACGTGGCTCATACCACTGATTATAGTAGTCTTATGTGTTAGGTTTCCACCTAAAATATAAGGAAAGATTATTCCAATCCTAAACAAATTCTTCCAGTGAATAGAAAAAGAGTGAACATTCCCTATTTGTATGAGACTAGTATAATCTTGATACTAAAACTTTTTAATTGAGTATAATATGGGAAGATCATAATCCACACACATTAATGTAGATACAGACACATCAGAAAGTCTAATTTACATTAACAGATCAAAGGACACTGTTAATGTGATTCTGTCTTGGCTCCAGAGAAGATGTACGGTAAAACTCAAATTGTATTCATAATAGAAATTATTGGTAATCTAGGAATTACTGACTTGATGAAGAGAATTTACCAAAAAATCCTATGCAAACATCATATAATGGTTAAATTTGGAAACAATTCCCTTTAAAATCAGAGAAGGGCAATGATATTTGTAAGCACTACTTCTTTTCAACATTGAACTTCAGGTCCTGGTCAGTTAAATAAATTGAATGTTAGCTCCACGAAGACAGAGGTTTTTGCCTGTTTGGTTCACTGCCATATTCCAGGACTTAGAATAGTGTCTGACACTTTAGGTATTCAGTAGACACTTGTTGAATGAATAAGACAAGAAAAATAAATAAAATGTCTAAGTATTAGAACAGGAATAGGCAAAGCTGTCATTATTCCCAGATAACATTATTAGCTATTGATGAAATCTGGAAAAATGTAACACTGATAAAGAGTGTTTAGGATGGTTGCTGAGTAGATTACCTGAGTGAGTAGTTGACTGCATGCCATTACAGCATTAGCAGTCCTGACAGTAAACCTAACAGCATACATATGCAAGGTCTATGTATGGAAAAGTGCTAAACCTCAGTGAAAGATAGTAAAGAAGACTTAAGTAGATGGTGTTCTATTGCACAGTAAATAATTAGTGTCAATCTCAGAGATAATTTTGTCCAGATTGATATGTAGGTTCAATGTAATTTCAATGCAAATACCACTGATTTTTTTTGTTTGTTTGTTTTGGAAATTGACAACTTGCTTATAAAACTCATCAGAGAGAGCAAAGGCACCCAAATACTCAAGATATGTAAGAAGCAGAAGGTGCTGCTGCAGCTGTGGGGTGGGGGTACAGTTCCCATCAATGATAAGACTTATTATAAAGCGAGAACATTAAGAATATGGAGCTGACACAGGGATAGTAAATAAGCCAATGGACAGAATCAAGAGTTTAGAATCAAAATCACTCGTGTATGAAAACTTGATGTATGACCCTGTTACTTAATGGGGAGACAGTTCAATAATTGATGTGGGTATAATGACTATCCATATCAGGAAAACCAGAAATTGAATCTTCACACCATTTACAAAAAAAAAAAATCTATTTCAAATGGATGAAAATACTTAAATATAACAGGGAAAACTTTAAAACTCTTAGAAGAAAATACAGGAGATTATCTTTAAGACCTTGGGATAGGGAC